ATGGACGAAAGCAGAAGAACCACCTACAAAACAAAGAAAGTGAGCTGCGATGTTGAGTATTCCTTGGCATTCGCTCGAAATGATGGCACTTCCAACGAGAAGTTTGATGGGAGCCAAATTTTAGAATGCCCACAACTGATACCATATACAACGATCACGATTTTTATTGCACCGGTATTTTGCACCACCTTTTATTGCAATAATATGCGTGCTGCGTATGATAGAAAATCAAATAACAGTCGCTGAAGATAACGGATTGAGCTTGCTCTATGAAATAGGATGGATCCAGCTCCTTCACGTGGATTAGTTGAAGCAGCTGAATCTATCCTTCAGCGACTTAAACTTCATTCTTTCAAAAAAAAATTGGCGAAAGTTTTTTTAGTAATCATATTTTTCCAAAACAGTTGTCAGGGGTAATGAACTAATCCCGTTGATTGCGCCATAGTGTTCATTTGATGAAAAACTTGATTATTTGTGTGGTCAAGAAAAGGCACGGCAATCGTCCTTCGCTCCATTGCTTTCTTCCACATAATTATCTAAGCATAGCGCTGAAGCCATTTGCAGTGGCACTGGTGGCCTTCAAAGCGTTGAGTTTGCAGAACTAAAATTTAGCAAAAAAGGCGTTTAAAAAATTGCTAGCTTACAAGTTCCTGTTCAAAAGTTAGCCTCCATGCACTCGTCCTTGTTTCTATCATCTTCCCTTACTATCATCCTCCCTTATTCTTTCATTTCGATCCATTTTCAACTTTGCATCTCAAAATTTCGAAAAGTGATAAAGTGGCCAAGCTTTTTTTGCCTCTTTATCAGAAAAATCAAAAATAACTCAAACTGACGGAGACCTATTAATACTGATCCTGAAGAAAGCGTCCGCTAAATTTGTTATGTACCAGCGTTATTTGAATATTCCTGGGATCGTTTAGTTTTGCAGAATTCTGGCTTATCATTCAAAAAATTCGAAATGAAACGTCTATTTTTTGCGAAACCAAATGTTAGAACGCCTTTGAGAAGTACAAATTTTTATTGCAGGAGCACGAGGACTGTTTGACTATCTCAAGTTCCTCGCTACTGGAGGATCATCAGGAGGATTCAGGCATCGAAAATAACTACCGGTGCGGCTCTATTGACGGTCATTCTCCGGCTACTTCGCTCGACTTCTTCCCACCAGGTCGGCTCCAACCTCAGTTAAAACACTCGACCTATATATTATCCGTTAGGATCAGAAATTATTTGCATGTTTGCAGGAACTAAAACCAAAAATGTCCCCTGTCCACGTACAACTTAAATATTCCAAATTCGCACTCTAAGTACGTGTATTTTTCACGTATGAGCACGTGAAATTTTGGGCAGCAAAAATGCTAACTCGGAGGACAAGAAAAGCTGCACGACTGGAATTTTAAGGAGACGTTTCCTGTCCGCGCACAACTTAGACTTTTCAAATTTAATCCCCAGTGCCAGGAATGGGGAGGGGAGCGATAGCACAGGCGTCAGTGCTGCAAAAGCCCGAGACTGTCCATAAATGAAAATAAAGTAACTCTAAGTAGCAATGTTACAACTCTATTCACGGTTTTGCAAGGGGGTTCTCCCCCACCCCACTGACCCCACCCAGGAATTCGTCCTGGATCCGCCCATATCAGGTGTGTGTGGCTGCGGGTGAAAGTTTTGGCAGGAAAATTGCTTACTGAATAGCTTGGTCATTTTCAAGTACCACCGCTCAAACGAAACTGTTCATTCTCCTTTGTGCAAAATTTACGATGATTTACGCTGAGTATACAAACTGAATGTAAATATAGTTAAGGACCCGAAAGCTTAAATTTAATGCAAAAGCACTGGCTCCCACCGGTAGGGCTGGTGCGTTCGAATTTGGCTTTTTCTTAGTGAAATGATTTTTGGTGATTAATCTTCGGCCACATAATAAACAAATAAATCATTAAAACAACGCATTACTTTTTCAGTTCAACTAAATCAGCAGGACCCGACGAATCCTTCGCCACCACCACTGTTGCATTCATCCCGGATTCCCCATAGTCATCATCATCACCATCATCAGCGAAATCATCAGTCTGCCTTACATTCGACACCTCCTTTCTTTTCAAAAAGCTTCACGAATTCAACAAGCTTTTCTGATGACAAGGGCGAAAATGACCGTGAAACAGCTTCCAGGATCAGCTCATTCCCTATCGACGCAATCACAAAAACTGTCCTGCAAAACAATCCTGAACAGGTAAAGTTTTACCTAAAACATCAGCAAAATTAACACGTGCCGATCACTATCTGCGTATGCAATTGGCAATTTTTTAGTTTCTTTGATAAGTACCATACCTGTTGGTCGGATTTCTGGTTGATATTCAAGCTTCTACTGAGCTGCATTCCGGAAAAGGCTACAATCTCAGTGGTTTTCCCAGCATACTCTAGCATTTAACAAGATTATTTGTGTTCAAAGATGTACTTGTTATGTGTTGAGCATCACTGCCTCAATGAGAAAGTACCCGATTCTTGAGCAGATAAGGTGTCTTGCCAATCAAGAAACAAACGGAGCATAAATAGATAAATTGAGAAAACGTTCCCAGAATTAATTTGGCATGCTTTCAGGAAAATTTCAAGGCACTTTTACTCGATTTTTGCCCTTCAAAATCGAAATAACCGGTGCTAGGTGTGAGAGGGAGAGGGAACGTCGGTCTCATTTCATTCCATCATTTTTAATTACGCAAGCTGTCCTTCTCCTCATCTTCCCCCTCACACTTCTATTTCATCGTTTCAATAAAATGAGGAAAATGTCAAAATCCCATTTAAATGACCTCCCTTCTGTTTGCCCCTCCATTTTTTTACCTGTTTCGCTTTTTGCGCCGTCCCAATAAACAGAAGAGGAACTGGTGATTGAGCCGGGAAAGCGTGATTGGAGGGGAAAACTGGGCAGTTGAACAGGTTTATATCCAGCAGATATCATGTCGTAACAGTTGCGTTGATTCCAATTATCCAACATCATTGCACACATAGTTACCGCTATTTAGAGGAGGGAGGGCGAAGCGCGAGAGGCGAGGGGGAGGGAACTGGGAAGAAGAGTTATGAGCAATTAACAATTTTGTAGGCTTTTAAACCGCAGATTTTTGATTGACAATTTCACCCTCCGAATTTTTTTACTTTTTATTGGTTTTCTACTTTTACGTAATTTTGGAACATGAACATTTTCATCGGAATTCTTAACTGTATTCAGAAACTCTTCTTTTCAGTGGTATAAGACATTCGCCATAAATTCTTTACGTTTGGTACCCCGTATACGTTATGATACTTTTCTACCATTTTCTTCTAGTTTTCTACCACGTTATGATAGTTTTCTACCAGTAAGCGAACTAGTAGGGCACCATTTCATTTGCGCAGTACATACTCGCAAAGACGAGTAACAAAAGAAATACGTGGCCCATAAGTAAAATCCGGTGCAGCTGCAAACCAGCAGTTACACATTTCTCGCATACCAGCACCCAGAATATAAGGTTGGCGAAAACTGAGTTTATGACATTTAATTGAAAATGTAGCTTAGCAATCTGTTTTTCATCCCTTAGCTGTAAACAACAGAGTAGGAATAAGAGTGAGAATTATCTGTAATCTTCCTCATTCGTCACGTGGGGAATAAACATCCGAAATCTTTATCTAGAAACTGTGATAAAGTCAGTGAAGATAATAAATACAGAGTCATTAGGAAAAATACAGTAGCTTTTCACTCATTTTCATCCTCCAGTCTCATATCTTTCTCTGTTTGAAAGTTTATGAACGGTGCAGTTCAAAAACTAAAAGTCACATAACTAATCATTTTGCTCTTGCAGAGCTATTCACGTAGTGTAACACCGCAAGCAGACTGCTACCAGCAGTATCTGAGTGAAAGTTCCGACTCGGATAACGATTTCCCGCCACCACCCGACAGTCTACTTCGCGCTGAACCAGCAGCTCAGTTTCATCCAACAACAATAATGAGCAGCAATGTGGTCAGTGCACATAATGTAAAGAAATTTTGGTACCATTATCTCATCCGGACATAATTTTTTGCCAATAATTTGTGTGGTATTGAGCTTAATCGCATGGATATTGCTTATGAACTTTTAAAAGAAAATGGCTTCTGTGAGCTTTGTTCTTATGTGTCATCCTGAATCCCAAAAAAAATCTGAAGTCCGAAAAAATCCAAAACTCAGCCTCCAGCCCTTAAATACCGAAGTTTGGCCCGGAGCAGCATCACTGTCTAACAGCAACTTAGCTCAACTCTTTAGGAATTTTTCATCACATTTTTGTCAGCAAATTCTGTCAGGAACCCATGCTTTCACATTGTTCTCCGTTTTTCTCTCATTTGACCTCTTGTTGTTTCCAGAAGAGCAATTATTCATCAAACGGTGCCCCGCCAACATTGAAACGCGAATCGCTGTCGCCACTGGCACGGAATCGCACCGCAGACAATCCGGATGATGCAGGTGATACCACTTTCAAACTTGTACTACACTGAACAAATTTTGCAAATTCACAGCCTTCAAGCTTTTGGCATCTTTAAATTTGAAGGCAAATAATCCTTCTGTGTCTTCATTTCTTTCGATAAATTGGTACTTCCATATCCCTCTCCTTCGTTTCTTCCGAAATCAAATCGGCCATCAGCTTTCTTGTAAGCAACCTCGGGAAGAGAAAGCTATAAAGAGTTTTGCCACAGCACGCACTCCTTATCCGAGTTACTTTCCAGTGCCTCCGCTTCTCACAATGATAAATTATGGAGGGAGGAGGGGCGCTTAACTTTTGACTTAAAATTTTCAAAAATTTATGTCTCTGTTCTCGTAGGCCTCTCTTCTGCCGTTTATATACCAAGACTGTCGGAAGGTTTCTGGTTTTATGTGTGTTTGTTTTTTAAGATCCGTATTAAGTCATTCCTGAAGCTGAATTAAACGGCAGAAATTTTGAATTAAAGAAAAAAAACCATTTTTATGTAAACAGAAGTGCATCGCTTTGTACGGGGCAGTTTTGTGGAATTCAGGCTGTAATTCAAGTTACGGTTCTGGGGTTTCAAATAAATTTGAACCTGACATTGATGTTCCATCCAGCTTTTGGATTTTGGAGTTCGATTTGAATCCCGTGAATTTGAAGAGTTCGAAGTATCAGCCAGATACTGGTGCTATATTGTCCTTCTCTCAATCATGAAGGCCGAAGTTTTGTCAAACTTCGCACTTGTGCTACTAATGGGGATCTGGTCCAAAGTCACTTAAATCTCTATCAGTGACAGTTTTTCAGCATCACTGGGCATTGAACTGTGCCGCGAGCAGTCAGCCAACATAACAGCAGTGAAATTTCCAGTGAAGCGACAGGTCAGTGCGGCATGTCACAGCTGCAAAGCGGCCACAGGCGACGCCAATGGCATCCCCCCGAATGAGGTCGATCCCATTAGCAAACTACCAAAACAGGTTCCTTCCGTCTAACAAATGCTTTCGCACTGAGAGAGCATAAGTGGTTAAAAAAATTCGAGAAAAAAAAAAAGCTTTAACTTCGACGACAAAAAACACTCATTGAATTTCGTCCTTAAGGAATAGCAAAACGTCTGTTGAATGGGAAGGCCGAGATATGGGCCAAAACACTGCATGCACTGACAAACAAGTCATAGTGCATTCTGTGTTTCATCCCTTAGCTGTAAACTCAGACAGAGCCATACGTGCGAGTGAAAACGGGAATTGCCAGTGCAACTTCTTCCCAGTCAAGTACAGTATGTGTAAGTTGAAGCAAAATAAAAGATGACATTTGGACGGTAGAGAGAAGGAAAAAAATTTTTTTAGATGAAGTATAGGATTATGGAGAATTCTCAATAGAAAATGGATTTATGGGTGCAAAAGCAATCTTTAGTCTTGAGTAATAGAAGCAACGGCCTTTTAAGCATGCCTTTTAAGC